GAGATACCAGCCGGTGGTTGAGAATTGCTACTGCTGGTCGGGAAACGTCTTTGACCGGTTACACGGAAACTCGTCGCGAAGTTCTTTCGTGGTAGAGGAGTGAGCGACCCTCCTGCGGACCGGCGGGTTAGTTCGCTTGTCCCTTATGGCCCCCCCTCGTTTTCTAAAGGCGGGGTTGAGAACTGAAAACTTTCACAGCACTTCGTTCCTGTGCCTCGTTAGAGAAGCATGCCTCCATGTAGAACTTTCTAATGAAAGCTTTGGTTGTATTCAAGATACATATGCACCTCAGCCATGCCAAAGAACGTCTACGTAAAGAAGGAAAGGCTCCATAGACGTAATGTAAACCAATTTGTCTTCTACGCCACTAGAAAGGAGAGGGAAAATTCGCTAAGGGATTTGGCGACGGAACCTGTTGGCGAGAATTCCCCCCTCTGTGATGTACCGGACCTGGCCGAGATTTTCCTCCTCCTCTGCGTGTACAGGAAATTGAGGAACACGGGTTAAGATGCATAAGAAATTTAGGTGAAGTTTCACTTTCGCTGGCTGTTGAACTTGCATTATCCATATCGCAGTTTGATGTCTGATTTTATATCCGTCAATAAGGAGGGGAAAAAAATGGAGTCACACCGCTTTAAACTCTTGATAAATGTAAGCGTCGAACCTGTTTGAACTTCGACATCAGCTTCGAGCTTTGTTTCTTTTTGGCGACAGATGTTTCACGCATGCGCAGCTGTTTCTATTTTCGTTCGAAGGAAGCCACTCCTGCTGCTGCGAAGTTTTCCTTCTTAACAATACATATTCTTTGGCCATGCAGCTTACCCGTTCGCTTGGTTTCGAACCGAAGACATCATCTGTGTTCAGCAGCCTTTAACTGCTTGGCTACTTTTGGCTATTTCTGGATACAGAACCATCCTGTTGTGGAAATTTTTCCTGAATATAAGAACATATATTTCAAACTATCTAAATGTATCCCCTGCCCCCCCCAAAAAAAAGTAAAAAAAATCTGAAAGCTTTGAGATTTATATTACGCCCAAAGGGGCGTTTTTTAACGTTTTGTGTGCTATCTTTATTTATAAAATACTAGAAAGCCCGGCGGTCATACGGAATGACCGCTTTTCTAGATATTATAAATTGTAATTAAAATGATTTGTGCAAAGATGTCTGCTAATTTAAACTGAATTACCCAGGGCAGGCGGCGATGACGCATTTTTGCTTACTGCTCCACAAAGTTTCCCCCTTCTACTTGCTTAATTGCTTAAAGTAGAGTGCAAAGAAGGAAACCACTGGCGGTACATTTCTTAAGAGCCCAGCGCTAGCTCAATCAATAAAGGTGATTTAAATAATGAAATGTTAATTTACATGTCAAAGATCTCTTTACACACACTTTTCTTGTGTATATCTTTCCATTATTTTTAAGCTCGCCTTGCAGAGAACCATCCATTATTTTTAATTTGACGTCCGTTCTTTCACGAACTCTTCAACAGGCAACATAAAGTTGACCGTGTCCAAATGCAAGCTCAGTTAAAAAAATGCCAACACGCTTAAGCGTTTGGCTCTGAGACTTATGGACGGTCATAGCAAAAGCAAGTTTTACAGGAAATTTTCAACGCCTCAATTGAAACGGCAACCCTGTGCCGTGGCAACTTCATCCCATTGGCTAGTACAGTTACGCAAGCAACCAATAAACTATCGGCGACAAACAGACACTTAAGCCGCATATATTTATGGGGTGAAGTAACATCATCTCCTCCGAAACGTAATCCCGGGCTTAGCGAAGCACACCGCAGGTCTGTGGCACGCCATTTTGACCATTCGCGTTTTCTTGGGACTTTAATTAGCCGAGATATTAATTAAAAACTAATTTTCTCCTACATTTTCCACTTTCTTCCTTGGGTTTTCCCTATTACATGGATTTGGCTACGTGCCAAATTATTTTTTCTCGAATATCTACGGAACGGCGCCGAGTTGAAATTCGAGACGCTTATCCTCGGATTCCAAAAAATTTTCCGAATCCATCGATACGGTTCTCATCTTCGTACGACTATGATCGGCCGAGATATTAATTAAAACCTGAGGAAACGTTAATTTCCGCGCTCATTTTTATCTATCGGCGACGGTAATAAACGGTAATAAACTATCGGCGACACACACTTTAGACGCTTATATATATAAAGATGTTCATCGAACTTAAACTATAAAACAGCAATATCACAAAATATTTAAAAGAGCATATCTTTGAAATTCCCGATGCACAGTCTCGCGGGAGAGCGCTGGACATAACTATTTTTTTTTCATACAGTGTTGCCATTGCTCACTTTGAAATCGTTGAGTTTCTTAATCAAAAACTCATAAATGCTTTACAAAATATGAAACAAATAATTAAACAAATTTCAAATTCGTGCTTTCAGATGTCCATATTCGCGTGGAGACGTACGTTATCGAAAATTGGATATCGCTAGGTACCTTTGTTTTATTACGATGCGAGAAAAATACATACGTTTATTCTTCATTATAATGAATTGAATGCAGATTCTTCATTATGTCATTACTTTGAATATGATACAGGGCTGTAATATTTGGCAGCAACAATTTAAAAAGAGGTACACCTATTATAACGAATCAACACAAAATGCCGAAACGAAATTAATAGCCTTTCTGGGAAAATTGCGTCTTTGTGCTAAAAACTCAAAATCTGTTGTCAAAATAAAAGTAACTCTGTGGACCTATGAAAGCTGTGCAATAAATATAATATTTCTTCTAATGAACTGCCAAACCTATAAACAGAGAAATACAAATAATGGGAAAGCAAATTACGTTTTGCTGAGGAGGAGAATTTACTGCCAACAAATTGCTCAATTACCTTAATTGCATTGTGATTTTCTTAACCGAGTACTTAATGAAGGAAATTTTGCATTTGAGCTGAGTTCTAAGTACTGTTGATTCCATACTCGTAGTCTAAATCGTGCAGATTATTGCTGTTTTCGCCCTAAGTCTCCGGCTTTAAATACACGCTGAAGGGAAATTTAGGGCTTGCTAATTATGTACTTAAAATGTCACGTGATAGGACGTCATTTATTTCTCCGAAGGAATCCAATATTATTTGATTCTTTCAGTAACATTTAGGAAAATGTTAGCAGTTCGTTTATTTCCGCTTTAATAACGATTTGTTGCATTTAGTCGTTTTTCAGTAATTTATGTAAAAAACGGCCTCGCGAATCATTAGTTTGAATTCAAAGATTCAGATTTACCTCGGCGTTTATTGCAATTTTTAGTCGCAAGCGGCCGATCTCTAAAGCAGCTATTAAAAAAAAAAATATTATATATATAGATATATATAGATATATATATTAAAATCCGATGTGGACACCAACCAAAGACTTCCTCCTACGCCTATTAAGCTATACACATTTTTTTCTGCACTTCATATATTCTTTAGGTATTGTCGACGGCACTGAAAAGGGAGGTGCACAACTAGGTGTTATACCAATCCCATTTATTATACAGATTTTCAAGGTTCTACGGGTAATCACTTTTGAGCTATACGATTGCGAAAATAAAGCCTGAGTAAGAACCACTTTTAAGCCAAGAGAGAGGGGTTATATATATTCTTTAGGTATTGTCGACGGCGCTTAAAAGGGAGGTGCACAACTAGGTGTTATGCCAATCCCATTTATTATACAAATTTTCAAGGTTCTACGGGTAATGACTTTTGAGCTATGCGAGGCATATTTGGTACAGTTGTCACGAAAAATTACATTTTAAACCCATTTTGAATGCATTTTACAATCCATTTTTGGGATAAGGAGCCTTTTTATTCTCTTCCAACGTACATTGTCACGAAAATAAAAAAAAAAAATACTTCCTTTCCCTCGTACAAAGAGAAAAAATAGATGGAATGATTTCAATGAAACCTGCTAAAGCAATTTCAAAAGTCCATCTAGTAATTAATAATAACTGAAATGAATCTGCTTTTATTTCTTTTAAATCGCTTAGTTTGTTAATTAATAGCAGAAGAAACTTGAAAGAAAATTAATTGTCATATGGTAACAAACTGGAGAGTGAAAAATAAAAGTATTTTATATTGGACCGTTGCAACATTATTTTTTTATATTGCTGAGTTTTGTAATTAGAATTGAATGTATTTGTCGCTGAATTTTTTTGATTATATTTGAAACATAAATATCGTAGCATAACTGATTGGCAACACAAACTTTTATATGGCTGAGTCTTTAATAAAATGTGCCTTAAAATGGCATAAAAATATAAAATAAATAAAAAAAAATTGCAATTTAAAATTCGAGTAAAGGTGCACCTGTTCGGGTGGAGGACGATGTGTGATCGAAATTTGGTGACTACACAAACTTTTATATCGCTGACTCTTTAATAAAAAGTGCCTTAAAATGTATAAAAAATATAAAATAAATAAAAAAAATTGCAATTTAAAATTCGAGTAAATGTGCAAATGTTCGGGTGGAGGACTATGTGTGATCGCAATTTGGGGACTACACAAACTTTTATATCGCTGACTCTTTAATAAAAAGTGCCTTAAAATGGCATAAAAATATAAAATAAATAAAAAAAAATTGCAATTTAAAATTCGAGTAAAGGTGCACATGTTCGGGTGGAGGACGATGTGTGATCGAAATTTGGTGACTACACAAACTTTTATATCGCTGACTCTTTAATAAAAAGTGCCTTAAAATGGCATAAAATATAAAATAAATAAAAAATTGCAATTTTAAATTCGAGTATAGGTGCACATGTTCGGGTGGAGGACGATGTGTGATCGAAATTTGGTGACTTGTGGGTTCCACTGTTTTTATAAATTTCTTCGGATGACAAAACAAAAATATTTTGTGATTTTCAATATCATGGAAGTGACGAAAATATTAAAATGTTATTGTCTGTTTTCATGTATAAATTTAAATTACTATACCATCGGTTTTAATTATTCTGCCTAAATGAGCACGCTAACTTTTATTTATTATTATTTTCAGCTTTATCGCGAAGCTATCACTTTAAGGTCAGACTTCACTAACGCCTATTTGAACCGAGGAGATGTATTGCTGAAGATGAACAGGTAATAATACTTTTTTTCATTAGCAAATCTCAATCAAAATCGTGAATGCGTATGAAAAATATTTTTAATCAGTAATGTTATGTAATGTAATATACGAGTGTATCTGATTTTGTCAATGATACTTATGTATTATCTCAATTATCTTAAGGGGCTCATACACTTTAGACCCCTTAACACCGTTCTAATATGTGACTGTTGCAAGAATTGGAATATTTTATTTATTTTAAAAATCAATTACTTCCAACTTTTTACAGCTGACTACATAATATAGCTGCTTTCTGAAATAGTGATCAGAAAGTTTGTGTTGCTACAAATATTTTTGTAATTTAATCCGCTTTGTGACAAAATATTTAGTCACGTTTCCACCTTGCGCGCACGATATTTTAAAAATAGCTAATGGTACATACTTGAAATTAGATGGAATTCTTTATATGAGCCCTATCTTTTAACTGAACCTAAAATCTGATGAATATTTTAATATTAAAAAATTTTATGTACGAAAACATTACAGATTTTTTTAATAAAATACATTTTATAAACTTAACTCCAAACAAAATAAAAACTTAACATGAAATTCTTAGAATTTTTTGGTTCACAGTAGTTTTCAAATATTATAAAAGCTATATATTAAATATGGAATTAAATTATGCAAAGAATGTTTTAAACTGTTCGCGCAAGGTGGAAACATGACGAAAACTTTTGTCAAAAATCGGATTAAATTATAAAAATATTTGTGGCAACACAAACTTTCTGATCACTATTTCAGAAACAGCTATATTATGTAGTCATCTGTAAAAAGTTGGAAGTAATTGTTCTTAAAATAAATAAGTTATTCCAATTCTTGCAACAGTCCCATATTCGAAAATCTTATGGATTTTAAGGTGTACGAGTCCCCTTAATAAACGTCGCCAAATTTTCAGAATGCGCCAAATTTTGGCAACCATGTATGCACAATTAACAGTTTTTAACAAGTAATGTCGCCATTTTTATATGCGTTTTTTTTTTTTTTTTTTTTTTTTTTTTAGTTGCATTTCGTGTTTTATAAATAAATCGTGATATTTTTTTGCTTAAACTTAGTTTTAAAATACAGGCGATTTCCCGATTTTTACAAAATTCGCTATTTCACAAACTTTCAAAAATTTGTGTCGATATTGCAAAACTTGTTGGTTTCCATGCTGTCGCTCCCTCTCTCATTGATAAGGGGGTGGTATCACCGGAGCTCTCTTGTTCTCTTATTTCTCATCGAGAAATAGTCCGTGCGAACACATCAAAAATAAATGTTAATGAACACATTAATGATGCATATTTGTTAATTCACATTCCATTTCGTACTGGTAGTTTAGAAATATCGTGAAAGATAAAAATTTACAATTCAAACCGTAATTTATCTTACACAATGCACCAGGACAACCAAAAATCTGTGCAGAATTTTTACTCGGAAAATATTGTGACTTTTATCTCTCCCAATGCTACCTGTCTTGTTAATGAATCAAACAGTGACATCTACGATCAAATAGCTTTATAATGAGGACAACAATGATTCTTTGACTCAAATCATGCGAAATGCCAAGTTTTGTAAAAAACGTGTCGTCAAGGCAACGGCCGCTGAAGGTGGGACTACATTAAGAGATTTTTTGGAAGAAATGTAATATATCAAACACAATAAAAATTATTGTAGACTCGTGAGCTGAAATAAATAAGAAATAATTATATCCGCAAATGACTGATTTCTGGAATGCTGATTAAAATCCGGAAACTATCACAAACTAAATGAATGAACTAAATTTGGACATCAACGATGAAGATCTTAATGCGTTGACCGAATCTCATTCAATAGCTCTGTCAAATGAATACTTAATTGAACAACAAGCAAGAGTTGTTTGAAATACGTAATGAAAGTGAGGAAGAAGAAGCTGATATGTGGTATTCTACTAACTCTTGACAAGTTTGTGGACACACACACAAAAAAAAAAAAAAAAAAAGGAAAGAAAAGAAAATCTAAAAGCTTTCAGATTTTATATTACGCCCAAGGGAGCGTTTTGAGTGTTACGTTTCCTACTTAAATACCATGTTCTTCTCACTGTTTAAGGGGACATATGACATAAAAATTTTCAATTATTCAAATTTTCAATTTTGGGCTAAAAAAATAAAGTAGCCTGAGACGATTCTAAAAATATATAATTTATCCATGTTTAGAAATTTTAAGACCGAAATCTTTCATTAAAATGTGTAAACAAGCACCTAGCAAGCCCACCAGTTGAGAACGGACAGATGTCTGGTGTGGCAACAATAAAGCCATATCAGCTGGTAAAAGGCATGTTCATAAACATTCTTTGTTAGAACCTGTTTTTTATTAGCTGAGAATAAGTCTTTAGAAGTCTCTCTGACAAAAGACTACTGTCAAATTGCATTCATGGAAGAAGCCAAAACCCACCGCTGAACTGGTATAGTGGTTAGGCCGCCGTGCCGAAGGGCCTGGGTTCGAATCTCGGAGAAGGCATGGATGTTTGTAAATGTATAGTGTCCGTGTGGAATGGAAGCACCCAAAATATGCGGCGAGCAGAAAGTTGTCTCGAGAGGTGGGTGGTAGGGGAAGAAGAGTGGGAGACCTTCGGACCCGTCCCCCTTGGAGTGCTTTCCATCAAATTTGGGGGCGGAATTGAGCCAAATCGCATTATCACCTGCTCAAGACTGTTGCCAACGGCAGGTGCTCCTTGCGCTGTTATACGTCAGACAAGTGAACAACAACAATTCAAAACCCAAATGAAAGTTTTAATAATTGTATCTGGACACGAATACCAAAAACTGTTTTTCTGGGTGTCATCATATTAAAATTAAATTTATTAGATGCGATATTATCTTTTAATGATGGTGCACAAAGTCGAAATAAATAATGGAATTATTTGGAATATAACCAGGGTTTTATATGTTAATGTTTTTGCGGAAATAGATTGCGATAGAATTCGTGAGGCCCATCTTGTTTACCAAAAGCTTTCTAAAATGGCCAAAAATGTACTTAGATTAATAAAACAAAAACAACTAGATGCAGAAATGCCAGTTCAAGATGATTTTGGTGCAGGAAAATGTTAAAATGATTTTTTTTTTTTTTTTTTTTTTTTTTTTTTTTTTTATAATTTTCTTCAGTTTTTCTCAAAACGTTTTTTTTTAACTTTCGGTACACTTTTCTTGAAAACTATTCAGCCCAGAAGGTTTAAATTTTCCACAGTTGTTTACCTTAACTATTTCTTTGAAACTACGCAAGATGTAAAATTTATGATCATTAGTTTTGGATATATTAAAAATTTAATACTATTTTTTCTATGATTTTCAAAATATTTTAATAATTTATTTTTAATAATTTTTATTTCTAAGTAAAATGTAAAATATTGCTTATTATTCTTAAATGATATGTTTTTAACCATCATGCAAAATTTGAAGGAGTTTGAGGCAGTAATTTTTAAGAAGCGTGTACCAAATTAGCACTGTCTCGGATTATTCGTCAAAGATAAGAGAAATTAAACAACTGGTTTTTAAAAAAAATTAAGCTTTAAATTTACACTTTATGTGTTTTATATAATCTACAAGCTGTCTATTTTAAATGAAAAAAAGAATTTAGAGTATATGTTTATTTTGAGAAAAGTTATACCGAAATAACCTTTGTCCCGAAATAGTTGCATTCCGTCAGTCGATATGTCACATGGCTCCTTAAAAGACAATATCTTTAGAATTTCCGATACACAATCTCGCGTGCTGGACATAAAAATGTATTTCTCTTTCGCATAGTTTTTCAATTGCTGGTTTTGAAACCGTTGAGTTTGTTAATCAAAAATTTTTTAGTGATTGACAAAATATGAAATGGACAATAAAACAAATTCCAAATTTGGGCTTCCTCATGGCCATATTCGAATGGAAGACTACATTATTCAAAACTGGATGCTTCTATGTACCGTTGTTTTTTCACAGGGCAGAAACATACATACCACATTCATGCAGATTCTCCATTACTTTATTTCTTTAAACATAATGCAGGGCTGTAATATGTGGTGGCAACGGTTTGAAAAGTGAATCGACGCAAAATGCCAAAATGAAATTAATATCCTTTCTGGCCAAATTTTCCCGCGAACAGGCTGGCTGCATGGGTGTTTTCATCGTTTTCCCCATGTGTAGCGTATATACGAGCCAGTTTCCCTTAGAAAGTCCTTCACGAAGGCATCCCTCGCCTTAGGCACATAGCCCTCGAGGATTTGCCGTAATTAAATAGCCTAACTTTTTGCCCAAATTGCCCCTTTGGGCTAAAAACACCTGAAAGCGCTTAAAAATGAATCGTTAAATTCTCCACTTAAATTCATATATTGTTTTTATTTTATTGATATTGATAAATAAATAATATTGTTAATAAACAAATATTTTAAAATAAAATTTATAATTTTTTAACATTCCTCTACTCTTGTACCTTCAACATTCGTACAAATTGAATTCTGTGCGAAAGTTGTTAAAGCCTCCTGTGTGTGCTTGTGAGATTTGCCTGCAGTGGGAGAAACCATCGTGAAATTTCTGCAGGCGCGCAGTAATTTGCCGCAAAATCAATAAAGGAGACAATTGCTTTGAATCTATAGATCGATGAAAAGAAACTGGCAACTGGCATTAGTGGGCGGAATACCTTAGTAAGCAAATACACTCTGCAAAAAAAAAAAAAAAAAAAAAAAAAAAAAAAAAAAAAAAAAAAAAAAAAAAAAAAGAGGAACAGTTCTACGTATATCTCTCGTTCGACTGGACAGATTAACGAAATTTAACTTGCATTTTTCATGTCTCGAAAGCGTAATTCAAGATATATATTGGATTTATACATAGCGTTGTTTTAATGTAGGTATTCTGACACAAAATCGGACTTTTTATTAACTGAGATACGATTTTTTTTTTTGGCTCTTTTGATTCTTTGACTCAAATCACGCCGAAATGCCAAGTTTTGTAAAAATCGCGCAAGTAGTTTTTAAAAATTT